TAACCGCTTGTATAACCACCTCCTTCGTAGTTGCTCGAACTACCACCCCATCTGTACCCTCCTGCAAAACCATCATCATAAGAATACTGGTGAGAATGAGTTTCACCGACCGCCTCGGTCTCAACATACACCTCTGCAAGCCGCATCCTGTTATCGCTTAGGAACTCCAACATCATCGCAACCGCGTCATCATCGTTTATGACAACTTCTTGGTACACAACCCCGCCAGCACTCATGTCTGGATACCGGTAACTAATTTTGCCAAGTCTCGTCTGTCCGCTCGTACAAACCCTGTCTGCACAAATATCACGGAGTTCTTGAAAATTAAATCGTGACTCAATTTTCAGCATAGTGGATTCACCGTTCTCATAATCAATCCCTATGTCAGAGTTTGTCACCCTTCCATTCCACCTAATAATAAGCCGAAACTTCTTGAATTTACCCATATCTACAATTTACAAAAAGTTAAACAATTAGTTTAAAGACAGTAAAATTAACCAAAACCATATTGTACGACTAATATTACTCCATCTCATAACTAACGTAACATAAATTCAACTAACTAACAACAACATAAATTCAAAAATTAAGTACTACAATTGCTACGATAAGTAATTCATAATAACATAACAATATAACTACTAAAAACATCATTACGCTATAATACGAAAATTAAATTATACTATAACTACTAAAAACCCATCATTAACCTATAATACGAAAGATAAATCATACCGAAAATTCCCCGCCTGTGTATTATGCTCGGTTTTGGTTGCTGAAATTTGAAGAGGGGGGGAGTGGTTTTGTTTTTATAATTGCTGGTGGACTGGTATTTATAGAAAAATCTGCCTAATGTTCACCGTTTTTGTCAAACACGGTGAACACCATCACCGCGTTTGTCTCAAACGGTGAACATTAGGTAGCTCATACCTAATTTTCACCTAACAGGGTTTGAAAACGTACCTAATACTCGCCGTTTTAACCTAGAACGGTGAAGGTATTCACCGTTTTGCCCTAAAACGGTGATATATTCACCGTTTCCTACTAAAACGGTGATATCTTCACCGTTTTCATTTAAGGCGGTGATTGGTTCACCGTTTTAGAGAAAAACGGTGAATACTTCACCGTACTTGTCAAACGCGGTGATAGTCTTCACTGAGTTTGTCAAAAACGGTGAATACCAAACATGTGTAGTTTTGGAAAATTTTTTATAACTTATGTATTTTGGGAATGTTTTTAAGAACATGTGTACTTTGGGATTTTTTCCCATGGTATAGACTAGTACTAAATGAATATAATTTTGAAGAACACAATTTATCTGATGTATCTGTGCAATAAAAAATTAATTTCAGAGTTAAAACGAAAGAGATATAGACTGTTAAAATTTAGAGGGGATTGATAACGTGGTGGGTCAAGTTTTAATATTTTTTGGTTAAATTTGGGTCAATTGATAGTTTTGTTAGCCACATCATAAAAACTAATGTCATTAACCGAATATGACCAAAGGTAACTAATTGTCAGTGACTAAATTTAGAATCAATGTAGTAAATATCGCGGTTTGAAACTTGAAAACTTACGATTTTTCGTTTCTAAGACACTAAAATGCTTCTACATAAAATCTCAATTTTTATAACTTATGTAGTTAAGAACTCCACTTTAAAACTTAAAAACTTACGATTTTATGCTTCTAGATCACCAAAACGTGTTTACGTAGAAACTTACTTTTAACTACATTGTTTAGAATACTGAATTAATTTCAGTGACTACTAATAGAATATAAATTTTGAAGTGACAAACATGATAATAATTTGTAACTCAGTGCCCAAACTTGAAAAAAAATCTACTCCTTTTTGCATACAAGTACTAAAATATTGATGAAGGATACATTTAGTGCCTAAAAGCTTTCTTCCTTACATTTTGATATTTAAAAATTTAAGATTTACAAATAGGTTCAAGTTTGTGACGTTTCTAGTCGACTTTAAAATACTTGTGGGATACTTTATATGATTTCTGATATGCTTCGAGTAATTTGTGGTATGTTTTAATATACTTTGTGGTGTGTTTTATTAAACTTATGCATTAATGAACTTATTGTATGCTTTAATGAACTTGTTGTATACTTTATTAGATTTTTGTCTACTTGATAAGATATTTTCTATTCTTTACAACCTTTCTGGTATGCTTTCTGACATTTGTGATGTGCTTTAAGAAATTTGGGGTAAATGCCACATTTGGTCACTGAGATTATTAAATCGTGTCATGTTTAGTCACTGGAAAATTTAATATCAATTTTGGTCACTCGAATTACTGAAACTGGTCACATTTAGTCATTCTCCCGTTTATAAAGCAGACCACAAATTTCTTAAAGAATAACACAAATTTTGGGTAAATGCCATATTTGGTCACTGAGATTAATAAATCGTGGCATGTTTAGTCAATAGAAAAATTTAATATCAATTTTGGTCATTCGAATTACTGAAACAGGTCACATTTGTTCACTCTCCTTTAGCCTCTGCCCAACTCCGGTCACTCGAATTATTGAAACATGTCACATTTAGTCACTCAAATTACTATCACATTTAGTCACTCAAGTTTTAGTAATTTGAGTGACTAAATGTGACATGTTTCAATAATTCGAGTGACCGGAGTTGGACAGAGGCTACAGGAGAGTGACCAATGTGACTTATTTTAGTAATTCGAGTACCAAAATTGATATTAAACTTTTCTAGTGACTAAACATGCCACGATTTAATAATCTCAGTGACCAAATGTGGCATTTACATGAAATTTTTGTTATGCTTTAATAAATTCATGGTCTGCTTTAAGATGGTTTTTATATGCTTTTAGAAACTTGTGGTTCCATATGCAAATTACAGTTTAGTACCCAACTTAATACATTTAAAAATGGGCAAATACCACTACAACACCTGAACTATCCAAAAAAAGTCACTTGTATAATATTTTATCCAATATTTCATTTATATCTTGAACTATTTTCCATTAGTGTTGCCCACCGTTGACCGTTAATATTTAACAGAAAGTGTAGTTAGTGTTGATGTGACATTTGACGTGTAATTTTTAAAGAATTAAATAATAATTAACAAAATTAAAAAATAATTAGAAATTAGAAAATTCTATATTATCTACCCGAATGCCCCTTGGTTATCAATCAAACAAAAAAATGTCCACCTCACCCCCGAGCCCTCTCGTCCGCTATTTCTCCTTTGCCGTTGACCCGTCACAAGCTCGCCCGAAACCCTGTCATGGGTTCTTAAATTTTGACGATCTAACCAACCGGCAGCCGCCTCCTGCACCTCTCTTATCGTCATCTCCTTCTCTCCCTCCACAGATCCCAACCATCCATCATTGATTTGACCTCCGCCGCCGCCGAACCCCTGCTCCTTTGTTTCTCGTCGCTGCCAATCATCAAGTCATCGTCGATCCTGGTCGCTGTCACCTCCCAGCCTTTCATCTTGCTCTATGAACCAGAAATACGACGAATTTCCATTTGTCTCCCTCGCCACCGCAAGCTCCGATCCGGGCTCCCTCTACTCGAATCCTTTTCGTTTTTCCTCAACAAAACTCCAAATCCATGTCCGTTAACACCCTCCTCCCACTCCAGAACGTATCACTACGCTTTACTCTCGATTTCAATCTTCGATTTTGAGTTGAATCGAACAAATTCTGGTTTTGCCAAAATTAGTGTTCTTGGAAAAAATGGTGGAGCTTCAGCGCATCGTCGAGGGGAATCGCGACAAGCAGAAAATCTCACATCAATCACCCTTTTCCCTTTTATCCATCGATTTCCCACGCTTAGATCCATCCGCCATTGAGAATCGCGACACTCTCACATCGTCGAAGAGGAGATGGCTGCCCGAAGCCGTGGTTCTGGAGAAATGGGAGTGATGAAGGTGGAGGGAAGGTGGTTGGTGACAGTGTTCTACGGATTGGAGAGACAAAGCTGGCGGAGGCCGATTAGTACCGGCGGGGGAGAAGACATATATGTTTTCTTTTCGGTAAATGTCACGTTTGTTTACTAAGATTACTAAATCATGTCATATTTAGTCACTAGAAAAAATTAATATCAATTTTGGTCATTCGAATTACTGAAACATGTCACATTTAGTCACTCTTCCGTTAGTTTCCGTCCAACTCTATTGACATTCATAAAATAAAAAAAAGTAATTCGAGTGACCGGAGTTGGACGGAAGCTAACGGGAGAGTGACTAAATGTGACATATTTCAGTAATTCAAGTGACAAAAATTAATATTTATTTTTTCTAGTGACTAAACATAACACGATTTAGTAATCCTAGTGACGAAATGTGACATTTACCCGTTTTCTTTTTGTTTAAATAATTTTCTTAAGTAATTCAAAAATCCACTTAATTAATTTTTTTCTAATTTTGTATGTTTTTTCATTTAATTTATAATTCGATTTTAAATTTAAAAATGACATGTTAAAGATGTGACAATTACGTGGCATCCACATCAACAAAAATCAACAATGCTTTGACCTTAATCCAATCAACCGTTATTTCTAACGGTCAACAAAAATATCAGGATACAAAGACACAAAATTTTATATATTATATTTTATACCTAAATTTTTTCAAATTTACAAATAGGTCCACATGCATGTACCTCTATTTTTTAATAATGACAATCGTGCCCCTCTCTTTCTAATTGTGATAAACCCCCTACCCTTATATTTTTTTATGAAACTATTGAAATAAAAAAAAATTAACAAAAGAGAATATTCCTATTCAAATTAATATTAGCATGATGTAAAAAAAAAAGTGTTATCACCTAACTTCTGGTCCTCTGCCATTTGACTTCTACTGCCACATAGTCCATAGACATAATGGACAACGGTCACGAAAATTGAAAACTTTTCTCTCCCATATGATCGATACTTTCCACCTCCTCTGCCGCGTCCGAATTATCAAAATTAACCGCAAAGTTAAATATAAAAGTCTAGCAGGGAAACATATTAATCATATCTTACAAACACGCATATATTGAAGTGCATAATCCAATCTTTGGAAAGAAAGAAAATTTCTGGCAGAGGTGGTAGAGTTAATACAGACCCACAGACAGGAAAGCAATAAGGCAATGATGAGCCATTTGCACACATTGGAGAAAAGCTGGAAACAAATAAAGGTTAAGGGAGCAAAGAAAATAGCCTTTTCCCTCTCCTTCCTTTCCCAGCTTTGGATCAGGCTTAGGCAGAGCGCCAGTTCTTCTTTCCAGAGGTTTGCTGCTTCCGAATTATACCGATCAAAATGGGTGGCCGGTGCTCCAAGTTAACTCTCTGCTGTTACCACTCTCACCATAAGCCTTCCGTCCTCGAGTCCTCCGATCTCGGTAGAACAAAAAGATCGAGACTTTCCTTCTTTGCTCACATTGTTGCCAATTGGGTTCCAGTGATCTTTGTAAACTCAATTTCCTTTTTTGTTTCTTTAAATGCAGAGGACGGGGGCAAAAATGACGGGAGCCCATGGCCGAGCTTTAAGGAGTTCAGCTTGGAGGAGTTGAAATCCGCCACCGGCGGGTTTTCTTCCGACAACATAGTGTCGGAGCACGGCGAGAAGGCTCCAAATGTGGTTTACAAAGGGAAATTGGATGCCGACCGGTGGATTGCCATCAAGCGCTTCAATAGAATGGATTGGCCCGATTCTCGCCAGTTCGTTGTCAGTTCATTGTTTCACTCCTTTCTTATTTTGGGCTTTGCTTTGGCTTAAATGTTTTTATTTTTTTATTGAATGAAGAATGTCCTAAACAAATGTCAATGTTAAGGAGGAAGCGAAGGCGGTGGGGAATCTGAGAAGCGACCGGCTGGCGAATCTTATTGGATGGTGCTGTGAAGGTGAAGAGAGACTGCTGGTTGCTGAGTTTATGCCCAATGAAACGCTCGCCAAGCATCTCTTTCACTGTGAGCTTCATCTTTGTTAGTCAGTTCTTTTTTGTTCTGAGGAACTGCAAGCAATTGAGTTCTGATTAGTCTTGGAGGTTGGGGTGTTATAGGGGAGACTCAGCCGATGAAATGGGCAATGAGGTTGAGAGTAGCTCTTTATCTAGCCCAAGCTTGGGAGTACTGCAGCAGCAAGGGAAGGGGTTTGTACCATGATCTCAATGCCTATAGGGTCTTATTTGATAAGGATGGGAATCCAAGGCTATCTTGCTTTGGGATGATGAAGAACAGGAGAGATGGCAAGAGTTACAGCACTAATCTCGCATTCACCCCTCCTGAGTACTTGAGAACTGGTAATCGTTACTGATGAAGTCAGCTGATCCGAGTTAATTCTCATTGATGATTATGGACCCGAAGTTTGAACACAAAGTGTGGTGGATACTATGATCTCCCACCACTAGGCCAACTCTTAATATGAGGTACTCTGCTCATAATCAATCACCAAACTTCTTTGCAGGCAGAGTGACTCCAGAGAGTGTTGTCTACAGTTTTGGTACACTTCTGTTGGATCTACTTAGTGGCAAACATATTCCACCCAGCCATGTATGCTCTCTTCCTTTCTACTTGGTCTTTGTTTATCTTATGGTTTCCATTGACCACTTTTCTGTTACTCCTTTGTTCTTCTTCAGGCCCTTGACTTGATTCGCGGCAAGAACTACCTGATGTTGATGGATTCAGCACTGGAGGATCATTTCTCAAAGGACGACGGTACTGAGTTGGTGAGATTGGCTTCTCGTTGTTTACAGCTTGAAGCTCGAGAGAGGCCAAATGCCAAGACACTTGTGGCTTCTCTGATTCCACTTCAGAAAGAAACTGAGGTAGATTTAGATATATATGCTCGGGGCATCCGTTCTGGTTTCTTAACTCAAAAGATTTGAGGGCTCTTTCTTCGACAGGTTCCGTCATATGTACTTATGGGGATCCCACATGAAACAGCAGCATCAGCAAGTAACCAGCAGCTGTCGCTAACCCCGTTTGGTGAGGCCTGCTTGCGAATAGATCTTACTGCTCTACATGAGCTGCTGGAGAAAGTTGGGTACAAGGATGATGAAGGAATTGCCAATGAGGTTTGTAATTTTGTTCTTGCAGTTGCTTGAATTGAAATTCGAGACTGATTTAACATGACTTTTATTTTCTTTCTTGCAGCTGTCTTTCCAGATGTGGACAAATCAAATGCAAGATACCTTGAACTCCAAGAAACATGGAGACATTGCCTTCCGAGCAAAGGATTTCCCCACTGCCATTGATTGCTACTCACAGGTAATTAAGTGTGTTGGTTAGTTATCAGTGGCTTAATGATTGTGTCCATACAAACCGAATTGAATCTCCCTTCAATATTTTGGCTGACTAAAAATCACTTAACATTTCAGTTCATCGATGGAGGAACCATGGTATCACCGACGGTGTATGCTAGGCGGTGCCTGTCGTACTTGATGAATGATATGGCACAAGAAGGGCTTGGAGATGCCATGCAAGGTCAAGTTGTGTCCCCTGAGTGGCACATTGCTTCTTACCTTCAAGCAGCATGCCTCTTCAGCCTTGGAATGGAGGGTGATGCTCAGGAAGCTTTGAAAGATGGCACCAACTTGGAAGCCAAAAGGAACAAAAATTGAGATTATATATTAGAAGAAAGGAAGAAAGAAGATTGATGTATAGAGTTGCTTCTTTCCCTTCTTTTTTCTTTCCATTCCTTGCTGCATAATTTTTTTATACCTTCTTGTATGTAAGGTTCCCTCATTTCTTGGTTTGTTTTGAGCTCTTGTTGACATGTGAGGATCGGTCAATATTTGTCTATCTATTCGTATGATTTCCTCTTTCGTGGCTTGTCTTGGTGTACCCACAATTAGTAGATTGACTGAATTATATATATATATTAGATTGACATGTGGATCAAGAAGACCAGCTCAAATTAGTTTCTTTTGATTTAAATTCATAGAAAAAAGCATACTAAATTCAAAAAATCATGAGACTCATCGAATGAAAAGCTTTTAACCAGAATCGTATCTTTTAACCAGAATCGTAGCTGGATGAAAAGCTTTTAACATGGGGCCAACACGCGGGGTGTTCCTAGGGTGCCAGTCAGTCAGGGTGGATCCATGTCCGCGCCACCTATAGAGTCGGGTACGGGGTTCGTCTGTGCTTTTGATGGGGCTTTATATCGAGAGTCTCATGCGGCTTTTGGCTTAGCTATTCAGGATGAGTCTGGTGCGCGGTGATGGTTAAGGTTGGGCGCTTGGAAGGGGCTTATGAACTAGCTATAGTAGAGTTGGTAGCTCTTTGGGAAGCATTCCATTGGTGTGTGGCGAAGGGGCTCTGCTCGGTGTGGATATGCGGGGATGCTAAAGAGATTATTGATAGGGTGAGCGTGCGGTGCATGACTAATGCTCAAAGTGGTGCTCGTGAGATCCAGGCTCTCAGGCAAAAATATACAGGTGTGAAAGTACAGTTCGTGGGGAGACAAAACAACAGGGTTGCCCATATGGTGGCAATAAAAGCTCTTGTATTGTCCGCTAGGGCTGTGCTAGATTTTGATTTTTGCGCTTGGCTCCGTATGGAGTTGTAAACGTTCGATCTATTTTTCTTGGTAGTACAAGCTATCTTTGGTTATAAAAAAAGAACTTCTTGTTGGATATCAATCTTCTTTTTTTGCATCTTTGATTCAATCTTGTGGCAATTTGGTATAATTCTGTACTACTTCTTGTTTTTCATCTGGCCTTAAGCATGATTTCTGAGCGCACAACCCATGCACGCGCTTTCTAGCTATTTTCTATATCGGATGAACACATATATTAGGTTTTTTGAACGTTTAGACACTGAAAAGTGAAACAATTTGGTTATTGTGCTCAAAATCCTTTGGTGTGAAGGAACTCACAAAGCTGGAAAGTTGTAGGATCAGCACCGGGTGATCTGTAGCGCTCGTTTGGAGAATGAAGAGTCACCTTCTGCTTCTTGTTTCTCTTTTTGAAAAATAAATGCATAGGGTATGATTCTCAGTGACAGTCTCTGCACAAATTTCTAGACAAAGAATTCACTTGCTTGCAGAGCCCTCAGAATCAGTACCCTTCCCTGTTCTAGAACCAATTTCGTATCTTTGCAGAGCCATATCCTGTTCATCTAATAATGTCCACAAGGATTCGAATGCAAAAGTAAAGATCAAGTCTTTCTTCTTTTCTCTTCATTTATATAATATAATTAATAATAATATCTGTGAATCCTGGTGATACATTGGTATACAATTCATTGACCAATAGAGCTTGCTGAACCACCTCGCATAGCAGCAGAATCTCTGCTGCGCAACAAATCCTCTCCATCTTCTATTTCCTTGTATCTACGAAGATGGCACATTGAAGTGAAAAAGCCAGGAGATGACAAATGCAAACACCATACAAGCAAGCAGGAAGTTGAGGAACCTATGCCCCTGCCAAAAGTTGCGACTCGTATCCGAATGCTGAGCCGACGATGTTGCAGCCACCGCTGTTACTGACGAATTGTTGGCGTTCAACTCGGTTGAGTGATCAACAACTACAGACTCGGCCTCCGTTATTCCCACGACGTTCTTGGCCACTGAGTTGCAAATCTCGCATGTCCTGAGAAATGAAATCACCATCCCAGAGTTACTACAGCTCAGTTCCGACATTATGATTGAGAAGATGCTCAAATTCAACCCTTTCTCTTTTTTCTGCTGCCGTGGATTGCACGAAATAAGTCAAATTGTGGCTTATCATTGAAGATGTCGGATGTGCAGAACAAATCAGGAATATCTATTATGTGTAAAGTTTCATTAATTGAAGGAAAGTTGATGGAAACACTGGAAAGGGAGGGAGGCAAAATAAAAGGGAGATGCACTCGTCAGTGAAAGAGGGGTCGATTCAATCAATTTCTCCACTTTCACAAAAGAGTCAGGTAAAGGAGAATCATTATATGAAGGCGCACTGCTAAGATTCCCAAACAACCCCGCAAAATGTGGCCAAAGGCATATTAAAAGAAAAAGCACACAAATCATTTCAGCAAGAACTTGTCGGTCCAAGTGTTGCATACGATCATAATCTAGGCAAAATAGAGTATCAGCATATGAATTAAGCTATGCATCATGCTGGACGAGATAGACGCAATGGTACGTGATAGTCCATCTCATTCAACGAATTAGTGTGCATATGATCTCCATTATAATGCTCTTTCTTTTGCTTTACACGTCCTTCTTTTCTCCCATTTCATTTTCACCCCAAACTTGTTTTAGTCACAATCTTTCTCAACTTTACCACAGCACCAGTTCCACATTCCCAGAATTCGCCCACAAGTTTAATAAAGCAAAACAGAGCATTTCATTTCCCGACCCAGATGATGATCAGAGCAAATCTGCCATTCAATGAGCGCTGCGCAAGGAATCTTCCATAGTGCTTAATAATTGACAATTTTATTTCCACCACAACAGGACAAATTTAAAGATCAACGCCTAAGTAAATAGATTATGCGACTGTCAGACACCATAATTAATTAACTAATTAAGGAATTTCTGAAAATGACTTACTTGTTGCCCTTAATCTTGAACCAAGTTTCGGCGCAGTGCTTGTGGGCGGCGGCCAAATCGGCTTTGCATGAGCAACCTAACTCAATCGGAATTCCCGATTCCTGGCTGTTGCTCTCCAGACCCAGATGGCAAATCCGGCAGTCTACCTCCGCTTTACTCTCATCCACATAATGCACCTTTCCCTCCGCCGCCGCCCCGCTCCCAATCTCCACCGCCACCGACTGCTCCGACACACAAGACACCCGCCTGGAATCCGAAACGAAACCTTCGCCGTCGGAGCCGCAAGCGAAGCCGTAATCGCCGTAGGTGGAGCCGGCGGTGGTGGAGTAGAACTGGGAGTAGGTTGAGCCGCCGTCCTCCGCGTCGGAGAAACAGCTGAGGTCGTCGCTCCCGGCAATTGAGCTGCCGCGCCGGAGGTGGTGGAGGCCTGTCCCCTGTTCTAGATCGAGGTGGTGGGGCATTTCCATAACTGACATTTCCAAGGTCGAGAGAAAAACGTTTCCCAAAGTCGGGAAGCTTCTCTTTTTTGTTGGGTTTTTGTTTTAACCCCGCAATCGAAGAGGGAGGGAGGGATGGGGTTTCTACTTTATAGAAGTGGTGGGTTTAATGGATTAGGTGGTGGGTTCAACTCCATTACAATTGTTGCATTCGGTAAGCAGAAGCACCGGCCGCGGAGAGAGTTGGTCGGAGATTGCTGGCCCAATTTTGCGATTCTTTAGTGGAGGAGGAAGAAGAGATGGGGCTAGGAGAGAAGAGAAAGATGGCAGGCGTGCTTTTATTTATGGTGCGGCGGAGGGAGGCACAGAGCTGGCTAGATAGAGAGACTCGTGCTTTCTTTTTAGGGGGAACTCACAGAAATTTAGAAAACTACGACAGGGATTTCTGGCATTTTCGAGTATTATTATTAAAATCTTCAAAAATGGCGAAAGGAGATGAAATTTGTTTTGGAGGTAGAGGGGGGAGAAATGTTGTTGAGAGGAGATTACGTGTGGTTCGTGAATCTATGTCGCTTTAGATTCGGCACGTTGGATGGAGATGTTTTCCGGACACTGCCTGCATCTAACGGCCAAGATAATAGTGGCCATGATATTTCTCACAAGGTAATAATGATCTAAAAAAAACAACAAAGTTATACTTTTAAACCTTTTGACATTTTTACCTTTCTTTTAGCAAACAAATACCACTTTCACCCCGTTTAGTATCAATTTGTTGCTGTTGCGGTTGCAGTGGTGTTGTGTAAACAGATGTACAACCACAACAGGAAAAAAACAGAAAATACAAACCTATTTAGTTGATAATCTGAAAAATAATGAAAGCAGACAACAAGAAACAAAAACGCGTTCAATTACTACTATTAGAATTTAAAACCAGAAAAGAGAGGAGGCGGCGGCGGGGGAAAATGATTCGAAGTCAGCGACGGGAATCGAGAGGAGGAGGCGGCAGGGGTTGCGAGGTCGGGCGACAGGGGAAAGTGAGGTGGCGGGGGCAAAGGGACGAAATCGACGACGAGGGGGAGATGGACGATATCGGCGGCTTGGGTCTCGAGAGGAAGAAGTTGAGAGAGGGAGGGAGCTGTTGGGCGGCGGGTTTGGAAGAAAATGAGGGTAGGGTTGGCCGACTAGGGTTTGGGAGTTAAAAAAAAAAAGAGAATTTTTTTGCTTTAGGTGGGATTCGAATTGAGGGTTATTTTAATGAAAACAAATAGGAATCCCGTGTAAAACATGTACAAGAATCAAATCCAAAGCAATAAATTGTTGTTTCTCAAATTTGGGCCCTATTGTGCAAATCTGATTCACAACAAAAAATAGAAACCCAACTAAACATGTTTTTTTTCTTGGTTTCTCCAATCTTGAAAAACACAACGGAAAACAAAAACAGGCAACAATACTAAACGGGGCGAAAACAAAAAACACTCATTCTCCCACACTCGCGAATTCACCGTCGACATTCTGAATCCGTAAGCGTCGAAATACGTCCGAACAATGAGTAGCGACTCCGACGAGGTAAAAATCTCGATTTGTTTTTTAAAAAAAACCCAAAAAACCTTGACCGAAGGTAATTTTCGGTTGGTCCATGGTTCAACCAAAAATCGGTTTCGGTTAATCCACGGTGGAACCAAAATTCAGCTTCGGTTGAGCCATGGTGGAGCAAAATTTTTCTTCGGTTGAGTCATGGTGGAACCGAAATTTGTCTTCTGTTGATGGATTTTGGGGTTTTTTTAGTTTATATCAAATGTTTCTATTCTTTTGTTATGATTTATAGTTTAGTCCATAAGATAATTTGTTGAATTCTAATTTATATTATGTTTAGATTTAAAAGCAATTGAGCATAATTATTTGTGGTTGAAGGATTTTGTATACAAAATTAAGATTAGATGTATAGTACGCAAATAAAGAATAGAAAAATGTAGAATATGATGCTTACATTAGGGGTCATTTGCTTGTTGGATTTGAAAAATGAGGGTTTTGGCCAATAAAAACCTAGAGATTTATGTTGGATTTATTGGATTATGGATTTGAAGAGTCTAATGTTTGCATGATAGATTTGATGATGGATTTGTTAAATAAATAACTAACCATCAAGGATTTGCAAATCCCAAATCAATATGTGGGATTTACAAGTCCGTGAGGTCCACGGATTTGGTTCCAAAATAAAGACCAAATCCGTGGACCCCACGGATTTAGCACCCTTCAACAAACAACGGACTTATGTTAAATCCATCAAGCTTGGGATTTGGGTACCAAATCCATGACCTAAATCCAACAAGCAAATGTACTTATGAAATTTGAAAATTCTTACTGTAGAAAAATGTAGTTCTATACAATGTAGAATATGATTCTTACATTAGATGTATAGTATGTAAATAATAGAGAATGTTAAATTCTGCCATGTTAAATGTTGGATTTTGCATAGGAGAATTAGAGAATGCTAAATTATTTGTTATAATTGTTAAATTAAATGTACTCGTTAAATTTTCTATTATTGTGGAGTATTACTTATGAGATCTAACATTGTAGGATATTGATGATTACAGAGTTGATGGAAAAGATTACACCTAGGAATTCGTCAATGAAGTAAAATACGATACGGATTTGATTGCATATGCAGCAGCTAGTGAGATTGCCAAGGGTTTGAGATTTTATTTGGTGAAGGCATCAAATAAAAAAAATCCAAGTGAAGATAGTAGGCGACGATACTTGAAGTGCACTCATGGTAGGAAGACAAATCGAAGGCTCCTGATTCTGATCCGGCTAAGGAAAGGAGGCCTCTTACTTCTTCTGGAAAGTTGGGGTGTGAATTTCAGATCAAGATTGAGCAGTCAGATGATGGATATTGGTTGATACTAGCAGCGGCTAATACAAAGAATTCTTGTGCTAATTTGAGTTTTCACAATCATCGGATGGAGCTATTTCTGGACGGATCAAGTAAGAGGAATGTTTTGACTGAAGATGATAAGCAATACATCAGACAAGTGAGATTAGCCGGTGTCGCCCCAAGGAATATCCATAAGGTAGTGAACGAGAGAAAAGAGAAGCATGGAAAGGTGAACAGAAAGACAGATTTATAACGCATTGTATAAGCTAAGAAAAGAAGAGCTTGGTGAGAGGACAACTTTACAGTACACTTTTCAAGATGATCGGGAGAAGGGTTATTATGTGCAGTATGTGGATGACTGTAACGTGCTTACACACTTTTTCCTAGCCCGTCATGAGTCATTATTGATGTTGCGAGCTTGACACCATGTCATTGTGATAGATACAACATACAAGACCAACAAATATGAGTTGCCATGGGTTGAGATTGTTGGTATGACACCGGTGGGATTGAACTTTGTCATTGCATCTGCGCTAGTGTATGACGAGACAATAGAGTCGTACCAGTGGCTTCTCACGCATCTGCAGCATTTTCTTGGCTCTATCACTCCAGATGTGTTTGTCAGTGACAAAACAGGAGGATTGGTTAAGACCGTGGGGGTAATGTTCCATCATCGACTCATATACTATACCTTTGGCATGTAGACAGGAATGTGAGAGCACGGTGTCTAACGGAGGTGAGAAGGACGTCTCATTGTGGGATAGATGCAACCCAACCGACAGTGGATCTGATCATAGCGTCTTGGAAAAGGGTTGTATATGACGACAAAGAGGAAGGCATGAATAGATCTTTAGACCGTTTCAGGCGTAATTGGGGAGTACAATATACACGACTTTGGAGGTACTTGTTAGCTGAGTGGTTACCAAAAAGGTACATGTGGGCAACATGTTATACAAACCAAGTTCGTACATTTGGGTAATACAAGCTCAAATTGGTTTGAAGCCGCTCATGCATCCTTCAAGAAGTGGCTTCAATCATCTACTGGTGCAATCGACACTGTTAGTCTCTTAATAAATCTTCATTTATATATTTTTTAGAAGTTTTACTTAATATAGTATCCTAATTTTCTTTCTTTGTTTGTAGGTTTATAAGAAGAACCATGATTACATTGAGGCTCAGCATCTTCAAATCCTAAAGCTTCTAGCGGATTCTAGATTAAAGAAGATGTTACTAGCGGACGAAATATCATTTCGGGAGTTGCATACAAACGTTACTCTAGAGGATATGAGGTCGATTCTCATCGAGGTAGTAGTGGAAGGAGCAAGTTGTACATGTACGTTTCCTGCTATCCTTAATCTCCCATGTAGATGTGCAATGCAGTTAGCACGTTCTGAAAAGCGGGACATTGCCCCATATGAGGTGTTGCTTTTTGGACCATTATGAACTATCGTGAACCACCTACTCGGCAGAGTGGGATAACCATAGTCATTACCATCATGATGTCTTCCATGGTCTAGTACAGGAGGTTCTTGATAGGGGAGATGCAACCATTCGTGGGGATATTGGCCTACTTCGGTGTCATCTTCATCCTGAAAATGGTGGAATTGATGAACCGCACGGGGAACCATGCGGAACCTATCTCACTTCGAGCATGTGGAGAGGAGACGAGGGAGGAGAAGTTAGAGACCTCCGACCACAACACTGGACAATGACCAGAGGACAAGTAGGTTCTACTTTTTGGGAAATTTATGTTCAATTGTGTACAATATAATGTATAACTAACTTATTTTTGTAAATGATATTAGGTGGTACCGCTGATGCACACACCTACTTCGAGTCTACAAATACGAATGGGACGGAGCTGGATACTTATAATGATACAAGTTAGAAGTAGCGTCCCTATTTTAGCTTCAATATATTATATACCTCTTGTATTAATTCATTGTGTTGTGTATTCTGGGATAGATGGTGGCCCGTGTAGGGTTGTCAGGACTCCCAATACTGGTTGGCGGAGTTACCCGTGGTTGCATTGTTTGGAAACATAAGTGCAACCATATATTCGTGATTGGTTTGACCCACAACCAGATGGGCATTGTGGATTTCGAGCAATATCACAAGCACTTACCGGGACCCAAACAATTGGTTGCAGATGAGACGCGTTGTTGTAGAAGAGCTTGAAGCCCGACCTGATCTTTACAAAGCATACTACGATGGAATTTCCGACGGAATAGACAATGGACTTCGGCGTTGCAGGTGGACTCGAAATCATCGTTGTGGCATTACCCACTGGATGGATAATGTGGAGCTTTTCGTCTTTGATACATTGCATTCATGGGCAATTGTTGTCTATTGTCAAGGCGGTCGTTATACCGTGCTACCTGGGTGCGTCTTGACTTTCGACCTGGTCAAGAGCCATTGCCTCCGATTAATGGGCTTTGGCCTATTTATCATAATCCTAGTGTCCATGGTTGGGACCAATTTTTCTCACAAGAACGTAAATTTTATGATAGTTTAAACCCAGAGGTTTGATGATTAGATGTAGTTGTAGTCATTGTATTGAATGCAACTTTTGATTTACTATTTTAGAAATGCAAATAAATCGATCATATGAAAATACCACAATCATCTGAAAATTAATGTAGGTTTCCAACTATTAGACCATCGTTTCAAAATACAACAATCA